GAAAGTTTGAAGAAGGGACTATAACAACCCTATAATTTAAGGCAGTTTTTGAAATTTTTCCTAAAATCATTATTTCAAAAAGAATAAATTTAAATTAATTTGCTTAAAAAAAGTATAATGAATTCAAGTGATCTTCTCCTAGCGACAGAAGATTCAACGCGTGTCTTACATTTTTTGAATTATTGAGATTTTAAATATTTGTATTCAAGGATAAAAAAAAAATCATTTCAAAAAATAATGATGAATATTTGCAACCAAAATTACACTAAAAATCCATAATTTGCTTGACATAATTTACATTTTTAAGATCAAAAGTTGGAACTCCCACTCCCTTATTATTTATTTGTTTATAATTCTTAAACATTTTAATATAAAAAATCTAAGAATATATTTTCGTTATTCTGATTTTAAGTGACTATTTGTTAAATTTATTATTATTAATTTGAGTAAAGTAATTGTATGTGTAGTTTTTATGATTGTAAATTAATTTTAGCCTCCAACCTCGTCTCTTTCTTTCTTTTTTTTTTTAAAAAAAAAAATAAAGCATCTATGTTTTAGCTTTATTATTATTATTATTAGGACTTTTAAAAGATTAGACTTTAAGAAAAAAAAAATTTAACCTAATTCATTTTGTATTTCTTTTATTTTAAATAAATATATTAGATTTTTTTAAGATATTAGAATTGAATTTTTGTTATACCAATTAGCTAAGTGAAATGAGTATTAGAGTAATCGTGGCTCACATTTTATTATACCAATTAGCTAAGTGAAATTTGGCATCAAGATTTTTTAAAAATTTCTTAGCTTTTACTTTTACTTTTAATTCAATTATTTAAATAAAATTACTTATAACTAATAAATAATTATCAAATAAATCATGAAATCTCATCCATCAATTTTTGAGATTGTGTCTCAAAATCAAATGAAAAAAAGTAATAAACGTAAAAATAAAATATTCAGGGCTTTTAGGGCAAAAACTTTGTTAGATAGACTTAATATAAATGAGGAGATGGAACATTAAATCCTTTTCTCCAATCTTACAACTCATAATATTATATCAAAATGACATATAAAAAAAATCATAGGTAGTTCTAGTTTGATAAACAAGACACGGTCGGGACTACATTAGTAAACCTCCCATCAACATTTTCACAAAAAGCTTCGGCTTCTTTTCCTGGAATTGTTGTACACATGCTCACATTTTCCATAGTAATATTGCTGCAACGACTTCGAGAGCAGTTCAGAATGATTACAGTCTCATTTGCCGACGTTCCATGAACTTCACGAAACGTCACGTCACTCACTTTGATACCAATTAACTGGAAGCATCAATAAAAAATTTATAAATTATCACAACACACCAAGCACAACATGGGTTTAAAAAAAATCTATAAGAAATGAGAAGTAGATAAAATTGTACCTTATTTTTCCTCATACTTGCCAGATTAGTGTAATATCGATCGATAATGATCGGGATGTTCACACCCACAAGCGTTATTTGTTCAAATGTAATGTCTCTTACGTATCCATATCCGCCCTATAATAAATAATTCAAAAGGTTAAAAATAAATTATATATATATATATATATATATAATACTATTATTGTAAATGAATTAAATTGAAAGACAATTATAACCTGCCAAGTCTTGATTGTCATTCCATATAGAGTGTCCTTGAAGAGGCAATTTCTTACATGTATGTTTTCAATTAGGTTGAATTCTCCATTTTCTCTTAAACTTCCAATGCTGTTTTAAAACAAATACAACGATAACGATAATAAGATGTATATTACGACTAAAGATTTTCGATAAAGAGTTATTGAAAAAGCGTCATTTTTACCTTATGCCATGGCCGAGCCCACAGGTCACGTCTACGATATCGATATTGGTAGATCCATTGTTAAGGGCAATACAATCATAACCTACAGGAATAGAAATTAATATGAAATAAAATTGACTACTCAAACAAAAGAAAAATATATATATATATATATCAATGGGAAATGTTAATTACTTACCAGTTTCAATGAAAGAATTTTGAATAAGAACATTGTTGGATCCAGTAATGTCAATTCCATCTGTGTTTGGACTATTTTTAGGAGCAATAATGTGAAGGTCTGAGATAATGGCATTGTTACAAGAATTTATGGAGATATGATTTTTGGCACTATTGACATGCTTCATTTCCCTTAGTTGGAGCCCATTGCAATTTTGGAAAAACAATGCCTGCAAAACCATATATTATAATTAATATCAACATTAAATTTAAACATCAAAATCAAATCCTACAGTGACGACCAACATGAGCATGCAGCTCAATGGTAATGGACATATGTTCTTTCTCTCGAAGTTGAAAGTTCGATCTTCCATATCCTCAAATTGTTGTACTAAAAAAATCAAATCTTACCGTTGGACAATTTCCTTGACAATCTCTCCACCAGGAAGAACCTTGACCGTCGAATTGACCACCTCCATTTACCATGAGACCATCTATGTCTGAAAATTGAATCCATCTATCCGTCTTGTCACTTAGCCATGAACCCTTTGTTGGAGCCATTAGAGTCCCTCCAAGCTACAAATTCACAAAACCATATCAAAATATTTTCGAAATAAAAAAAATAAACATGTGACAAAATAAAATTAAGAAATGGGGTATGGAAAATTATCTTAATTACTTGGAAAATAATTTGTTTGGACTTGCAAGGGCCCTGAAATTTGAGAGGGCTCAACATGTAAATTTTTCCAAGTGGTGCATGTAATGTTGGAATTCCTTCTGTTGCTCCACACACATCATTCCAAGCTCTCAAAAAAGCCTAAGAAAAAAGTAAACTTATTAGTGGAAGAAGAGAGAGAATTACAAGAA